GGGCAGTTCACTAAAAAATAGCTTTAGTAACACAAATAAATTGCGAGCAAACACCAGACCCTTCAGACAACAGAAATTAGTCTGTGGAAGGATGAACAAGACAATGACGAAGACGAGGGAGAATCGTTCTTTAAACCTTAAAAGCGCTGAAATGCAATAAGTCATAAGAGGCTCACTTTCATTCCATTTCCGCATGCGCTCAACTAATTTTCGAGCACTGCGATCAGGTTGGTGCGGTAGTGAAATTGTTCGAGTACAGCGAGCCTGTGGCTGTTCTTTCAAAGGCGATGTTCGAGTAAATTTGGTAGCAGGACGATGTTCTATAACAGTAGATGTTGCGGAAAAAGGTAGCATTAAAAAAACAGTGAAAAATTAAAACTAGTAAAAGTTGTTGCTACTCCTGGAATAACAGCTACACGTTTTGACAGCTTGTACAACAAGGTCTAGAAAAAAATATTTATATTTCAGCGGAAAGCTCCCCGTACATATTCAGCCCATTGGGCAACAAAGCGGAAATGAAAAAGCGAGCGTCGAAATAAGCTTATTTCAACAAGATGGACACGTTCTGGTTCAACGTAAAGCGGCTCTCATTTTGTCGCAGCTTGAGAAAATGAGCGCCTTATTCGAAACATGTCATGTCTTTTTTCGCAATTTTCGAATTTTTGACACTCGCAGATCAAGAAGTGATGTTCGTGGTGCTTACCATTAGAAAATTCGAAAGGGTAAAACCATCTTCTTCTGATATAAAAGTGGTTTTTCCTACCCTGCTAGCAAATCATGGGTCATCGCGTGTAAATGGGCTACACCGTTCACAAAATACGGATTAAGCATTATTAGTATTTCGGATTTCCATCCGAGACACAAAAAGCCTTGACATATCGTGGCATTGAGAATGAATGCTAACGCGCAGAAAACTGGTCAAAGAAACAGTCAGAAAGATAGCCAGTTGAAGGGCAAACCATGCGGAAAGGAAATAAAGTAAATTCCAAAAAAAGGATATAAAACGAATCAAAGCGCAAGGATGTAATCATAATAAGACTTACTTGATGGCGAAGTAGAAGGCTTCACTGGTGAACGACTGTTGTTCGCTTTGGAAGAACTGGAATAGTGAACCTTGGCACACATTCATACTCAATCGCGAAGCAGGGATTGATTGCACATCAAGGATTGGGATTCGATCGACTGCGCCTATTAGGCCGCGTTCATAGCTTGCGTTCGTGAAGAAATGCAGAAATGCGGAAAGTGAAGAAATGCGGAATCTGCAGAAATGCCGAAAGTGAAGAAGTGCGGAATCTGCAGAAATGCCGAAAGTGCAGAAGTGCGGAAAGTGCAGAAGTGCGGAATCTGCAGAAAAGCAATAGATAC